TCTCCGGTGTACTGGCCGTCTGCCCCACCGACCGGGCTTTTGCGGCCTGAGGGCAGAGTGCCGCCAGCCCGGGCGGGCCCTGGACCTATCCCGGGCAGCTGAGGCCCGGTGGGGACCCCGTGGGACGGTACCCAACCGCCGCCGTCCGGGTGTTGGTGCCCACCCCCGCCTCCCCCTTTGCGGAGTCTGTGTGGGGCGGCTGGACCCATGTGCGCCGCGCAGTGTGGCGGCGGCAGAGCGGAGCTTTACTCCAGTCTTTTGTCAAGTTAAAAGCTAAGGGGCGGTCAAAGCTGTATCTGTAGAGCCGTAGGTGTAGCATGGGGCTCTAGATCTTTCCTCTCCTTAATCTGGTGTTTGTTCTCAGATCTCAACTGTTCAAATCGTAGATTTAGGTTTTAGTGTGCACAAGCAAATGACCAAAAAAAGGACGTAGTTCTGCATTCAGATCTGGCTGCGTTCTGATCTCGCTTTGTACGACTAAAATGCTTCTAGGAGAAGAGCTACCATAACGGTTTGCTTTGTTCTTCTTCCCTAGTGGAACGAGATAATAGAACTTTTTCGTGCTGGGATGCCTTTACGGAAGCATCGGTGCCGCTTCAAAAGCTACGAGCGTTGCTTCAAAGCCTCGGAGGCAGTGGACTGTTTACATGAACTGCTTGGATCTAATCAAAACTTTGGCCCAGAAGTGACTCGCAATCAAACGGTTAAGCTGCTTAAGAAATTCCTAAAAAATCATGTTATTGAAGATATTAAAGGAAGATGGGGCAAAGAGGATTTTCAAGATGATGGCCATTTATATAGGTAAACCTATATACGGTGACTGAAAAATTTGGTGTTTTGGGAATGGTATAATAACTCTTGTGTGTTGGTCTAGAAAGTTTTTCTAGAATGCCTCTGAAAAGGTGTTAATGTATCCTCCCCTTTCCTTTTAAAGACTTTATTTTCTTTAGCGATAAGCAACTGGCATGACTTAATGTTTGGCTTGGGTTTTTTTTTGTTTTTGTTTTTTCTAATATTTTTGAAGATCACTTTAACTCAATTACATTCTATGAATACAAACAGGGGCTTTTGTAGCTTTTGCAAGGTAGTGAGTTCTGTTTGCTGTTGGTGGATGTCAGGTTTGTCAGTGTTGGAAGAGTGCATATGAAGAAGACATTGACGGAAGTAAGGATGCCACTGAGCATCGAACTCCAGTTGTCCTCCCTCTCCCCCAACTGACTATTTTGGATGCTGTTTCCACTCCTGAGAGAAGAGAAAGGCCTTCTGAATTTAAAAGTAATTCGTGATATATATCCTTTTTCTATACTCCTTGGCTTGTACATTGAAATTTTTAAAAGAGACAAAGTTTTATTTGCTCATCCTCAAGGATGCTTGCTTACTTATCCCTGTTTAACCTCCCAACCGGTGGATTGTTAACAGAGGAAAAGAATTTTCTTTGTAATGGACGCTTAGCATTACTGGAGTAGGTTCTTTGACTTCTTGTGGCCTCAGTTAAGGTTTGGGTGTCCAGAATTTGTGGGTTCTGGATTTGTTCCATCTTGTAGTGTCCTGTTCAGTGAAGAAGTAGTGTAAAAATGACCATTGCCTTAAGTATGGATCTCTAACTTATATTGCAGTGAGTCTTCTTTTGAGGAAATGGGAGCTGTCTTCATCTCTCAGGAATAGAGAAAATAGGTCAGCAATAATGCTATGTTTCTACTTATTATATATATTATTACATACTTAAATAAATTTTATGTATTTTTTTGTAATGATTTCTTATTTTTGGAAAAACATATGTAATACTGAATTTCAACTTGATGTGGAGGAAGAAATTTTTCATTTTCGTCTATGATCTTAACTAGTTTGTAGAATGTTCCTAAGCTTTTTTTTTGCTGTCTAGTCTGTACACCTATGCTGTAAGTGCAGTTGTCCATTACTGTCCTAATTTTATTTATTAACTTGGAATACTTTAAAATAAGAGGTGTATATGAGGTAATTCTTTATCATAAATAAACTTGGGTCAAGATACTTTCTTATAAAAGAACTGTCGTTTATATTAAACTTGTTCCAGTGCAGTTCAGTTGATTTACAGTCAGACTGAATCAGATTTGCAATTAATTCCAGTAACAAATTAGCACCGATTCAACTTGTTCTTTATGATACTGCATGACATCTTTCACTAAAAGTGGTAGCTGGTTTTTAGCCTGCCTTCTGAAGGAAACAACACCGAATGCTATAACTTCCCAGCCAAATAAGTTAAATATTCAAATCTATTTCAATCAACTTTAGTGGAAGAAATTTTAAATAATTTGGGGGGAATAAAAAATTAATGTTCTTTCCAAACTTAGTTCCATAGAGGGAAATTCCGTGTAACATTTACTCAAGGAAAATGTTAAATTTTAGAATTTGGGAATCAAATTTGAAGGACCCAGTGTATCAAAGGACTTGTTTCTGAAGATATTTTTGGAAGCTCACCCAAGAAAGTCTGTTGCTAAGTATATAAAAGCAATATGTGGCTCTGCAGTTTGTGAGCTGAAAATGTCCGAAGCCTGGGGAAATGTGCTGAGGAAGTACGGTGTATGCATGTCCTGTTTTTAAATTCTTCTCTGGCCATCTTTTTTTTTTTCATTAGCCACTGGGTAGTTCAGGTTGGAAAACAGACATAGAAGACCTGCAGGGAGTCTTAGGTCTTGACTTCAGCCTGGAGAAAGTTGAGTGTAAAGGAGTGGGCTTTCAATTTTTTTTTAAACAGAGTTAGAGAAACAGTTGTGTGCTGGTACAGCACATGGTGCTAGGTGTGTTAAAGGTTTGTTATGTTCCTAGCCCAGTCCTGCTCTGTCTAATCTTAGGACAGCACTACCTGCACAGTTTTTTCATTGGTGCCACAAGTGTTAAGTACTTTGTCTCCTTTCTTGGCATTAACTTTTTGTCAAATGATTAAAAATGGGTGTTGGTAACTGCTGGTATTATGCTATATAGCTCTTTGGTGTGGGTTTGTTGTGTTTGTGTGGTTGTGGGTTTTTTGTTTGTTTTGCATTGGCATCATGACACACTCAAATTATTTTGCTCTTTTCTGCTTTGTATTTTCAGCCATGACTTTCCTGAGCTGCAGGCTGTGAAAGTTGGTTGGGTGAAATATTTCTGTGCTTTTCATTTACTATGTGCTCTGTCTAATGATCTGCTACTGGACAAGAGAGGTGTTTTGTTATAGCTATCTTAATGATGTTCTTTCTCCACCTCCCATTCAAAAGATAACTAAGTTATTAATTGAACAGGGTTTTTCACTAAAACTGCATGCCTTTCATGCATCTTGAATTGGAGCCAGCTTTTTCCCACTAGGCTTGGCACATAAATACACTTTGTATGCTATTCATGGTTTTGGTGTTTCACTTACAGTATTAAAACATGCTTTTTTCTTATCTATGGAGCTAAACATCGGTTTTCCACCCTGCCATGTGTTTAATGTCCTGGCAGCTCCCTCTGGTGGACTTTCCTAATGTTATGTTCTAAGTATGTTCCTCACCGTGTCGATACTGGTAGCAGTACAGGTCGCTTTTAATTCCACTGACAGTGCTTACTCTGGAAACCTCGATATGCTTCATACCTTCTCTATAAATTCCTGTGTTAATTTACTGTAACTGCACACTGTGGTGCACAGTTGTGTTGTTCATTAACTTTGCATGTAAGTGAAGTTGTCTGGTCTTGTTCACCCCACAGAATTATGGGAAGATGTTGCCAAATATTGATTTGCCTGAGAGTATTGGGCAAGTACTAAATGTGAAGGTGAGAACTAGTGTGGCTTCTAAAAATAGTAAAGGCTATCTGTCTGTGTGTCCTGACTTACTGGCTCAATGTAGTCTACAGTAATAAATGAGAAGTTACAGTTTTGGGAAGTGTCAGGCTTTATATTTTTTGGAATCTAAGCAATTGTATTAAAAGCAAAAAGGTTAGTACTCTTGTATTGCTAGTAAACTTTTGGGAATTCAGCTGTGTTACTTGTTATACCATTGATACCAATGTTAGTTGACCCTGTTCTCTATCCATTCCCCTGGACACAAACAGGTATCTCTATTTCTTCCTTGTATAAACTCCTAAAAGTAGTGGTGCTGGCTGTAAACCATGCTAATGTCGACATGTCAGCCTTGGAATGCTCCTCAGTTGCTAGCTTTGGGTAACATTATTCTGTTCATCATAAAATCTGAGGCTTTTCCTTGTTCTTCTAAAAACTTTGGTCTATCTAGATCTTGCTGTAACACTACCTGAAAAAGGGGAATGCACCTCCTTTTTCTGCTTGTGAGAACTCATTCATTTATTGGTTGGTTGAGAATCAGGGAAGCAAATGACATGAAGCTAAAAATTGTGAAGAACTGGAGGGGAGAACAGGGAACTCTTGAGAATACTGTAAGGCAAAGGAAAAAAGGCTGCAGAGGTTTTAACATTAAACTCTAAGAAATAATGAATAGCTGAAAAAACAGTTGAGACCACTAAACAGCAAAACATCTGCAGTATAATCTGTGTTATCTTTAAAAGGCAGAGTAAGTCTTGCAGGATTAGTGCAAGGTGCTTATCACTTCTCCTCAGGGTTTGTCTGAAGGAAGTGATATCTTCCTGTGTTGCAGATATCCTGTTGAAGAGCATTGTGGAATATGCAATACAGGCTCAGTGTGCGTGGTGAAAACCATAATGTGTTTAACCCATTCAATGTAATACTACTGGACTAAAAAACCTGCAATACAGAACTAATGTAAAAACTAATCAAAACCCTGCCTTGAGAGGATGGGGTGAAGTTTTAGAGAAAACTTTAGGGTTTCTTGAGCATGAGAATCTTTCTGGTAGGATATAAATGCATGATAACCAACGGTGTACAAGCTCTTGTTGCATGGTCACAGACATACCTGTCTTTTACATTCTGGTTAAAAGAGTGAGTGAGGCTGAAGCAATTTCTTGAAGCATCAGGAATCTGAGCATCTAAAACCTAGGAGTGCAAGTAAACAAGATCTGATCTGGGCCAGTCTGATGATACGTTGCTATTGAACTTATTTGCCTCTCTGATGTGCTGCCATTCATTTCTTTGTAAATGCTCTGATGTAGGTTTGGCAGTAATTTAATTCTGGTCAAGCTGACTGAGTTGAATGTGATCTGGCATAGTTTGTTTTCCTTGTTTTCTGCACAGGCTACCTTAGGGTTCATTTCTGCTAATATATTCAAGGCACTTCTTGAAATGCCTTAAAAAGTGAGTTTCCTGCACAATCAGCTGGAAAAAAATACCAGAAAAGAACTGCAGGATATGATCTTCGCATAGGAAGCATGTAAGCACACATGCTCCACATGGTAACGTGGACAAAACTTTGTGTGGACCCTTGCACGCGCACTAATTAAATCCAAGTGTTAGTCAGGTGACTTAGTTATGTAGTTTTGCTTTAGGACATGCATGCTAGCAGTGCACTTGACATGGGGAAAATCTACCCACAGCTTCTTGAGTAGAATCAACATCTTCTAGTGAAGACCTGAGTCAGTTGTCTATGCGTAGGCAGCTGGAGCTCTTTGAGATACACTGGGATATCAGACATTCACCCGAGGCTCAGCTATGTCAAGGGAGGTACAAAGGACCTGAACTGTTCTGGAGCAGCAGATGAAGGCCAAACGAGACTCCTCAGGGTGTTTTACATGTTGCTCAATACGAGTCTTCAGGGCAACTAAGTCACACTGTGAATGTCCAAGGCATTTACTGTATTTTCACATGTGAAGGCCTACTGCAGCTTTGCATTGGTAAACGTGGAACAGGGTGGAGTTCAGAGACATTAAAAATATTCTCTAATTGTAGATTTCCTCCCTCCTCACCGCTGAAGCCATATCCAAAGAAATCCTCATGTGGAAAGGAAGTAATTAAATTTCCAGACTGGAATGAACCGAAGGCTGGCACTTCCCAAGAACATATGCCAGTGAAATCAGTCACAATGGTAAGAAACCAAGCTTTCATTTCACCAGACACAACCGTATTTGGAAAGAAAAACTGAACTAATGATCTCTTTGCTGTGGCACAAAATACTTGTTTATAAAATTAAATGCAAAATACTTATATTTTAAACTTATGTGAAGTAAAGTTGTTCTTAGTGATTTGCTGGGGATGTTGACTTTGAGTGTTCTTTCTGCTACAGATTACGATGTCCTGTGGATCGCAAGTTCAGCATGGCTGTATTTGCCAGTATACTTGCATTCCAGTTCGATCGAATTCCAGTATGGCATTTATTATGCTACCAGACAAAATAGTTACTTTACTGTCACTTACACTGTAACTCTTATTCAGACTCTTCATCTAGCAGAATGTATACAGTATTACTCCCTTCCTAGCTGCTATGAGGTTGTTAGTGATTCAATTTCCTTTTTCATAAGGAATATGTTGCAGCTAAGGAGAAGTGGTCCTGGTTTTATTCTTGCCCTTTGTGAGCTTGGAGAATCATCCTGACTCATACTTACTTGGATTGATCCAGCCTTTATGAAGATGAAAAAACTGTTGCTTTTACTAGTAAACCAAAATTGTATCAACTCGTGCTACCTGGACACCTTAAAAGCCTAGGCTTCTGGAGTTATGTATATTCTAAACCCTTCCTCCAGTGTATCTTATATGGGAATGTTCTCATATTTTGTGAACTCTTGGGACTTCTTCGATAATTTTGGCCTTTTTATTAATGCTCATCAGTGCAGGAAACTAGCCTTGGCTTTCTTGGTGATCAATAATCTGTTTGAAAAAGTAGCTCCTACCATTTTTCTGGACATCTAGCAGTGACGAATGAATGGTTATTCCATATTTGTAATCCAATTACTTATGTGCAGATCAAGTGCACATTCCATGTATGCCAGGCTTCTAAAGAGGAAAAAACATGGTTCTTAGAACTTCAATAGTGGGTAGAAGATTAAGAGGGAAGAAAGAAAAGGTAGTGCCAGAGACAAGTAAAGATAATAGAGTATTTTAGTTACTGAGCAAGTATCTTCTGTGGTTTTAACACGTTACATCCTCCAGCTGTCTGGTCTAAATTTCCGTCCATGCCTGATAAGAATTAGCAAAAGACTGCCTATATACATCTGACTCGGATGCGACAGCGTGCATTCTGGCATAGCTCAAAATCTCTTTCATTGGCAGTTTTGGTTAATACAGTGGACCATAAGTTGAAGTAACTGAGGCAAAGGAATAAGCTTCTTTCTGCTGGCTCTTTTATAGAAAGCTGTAGCTTTGACTGGAATGGTGAAGTAGACAGGTAGCTGAAAGTGGTGGCACCTTAAATTGCTCCAGCATCAATCAGAGCATTTATTGGCTATGTGTGGATTGAGAAGTGTGGGTCTGTGTAGTGAAACACTGATGTAGAAGACCAGATATGAATTTCAGAGGGTGCTATTTGTTTCAAACCAGCTCTAGTCTAGTATCATGGAATGACAGACAATTAGTGCTTGGAGTAATTAGGTGCATTCCTGGAGTGCATTTTGTGGTTTGGTTGTGATCACAAAGAATACTATTAATGTGCTTTAGAACTGCTCTGTGATGTAAATCAAAGAACTGGGAATACTTACGAGTTTTGCCTTGAAAAGTACACTGCTGACACAAACTGTATTGCATGTTCACCCATCGGCACACTGATGATAATCTCCAAGCATCAAGCTTGGATATGAATGTTGAGTAGACGATAGCAGTCTCTTGCATTCTCTGCTTTACTTTATTCTGTTACAATGGTGGACTAGATCTGATGGGTGTCTTCAGCTGTACCTATTTCCTTTTACTTTCTTCCTGTATAGAACCTGCTAGCGTACTTTATGTTTAGTTATGATAAGTATATGCTGAACAAGGATGAATGTCAGTCTTTGATAACTCTTCTAATAATTCCTCGATGATCTTGCCATAAACAGATATTTAATCTTAGTGGTAGTTGAAAACAAGTGAGTTGAACTGATTTTAATCATGGAGAGGATCTGAACACAGGTCATTGACTCTTGAACTTTAGTGGCTATTCTGACACACATAATTTTTCAACTCTGGACAAGTTACATAACTGAGAAAATATGTTGTACATCTGTGAAACCCTAAACAGTCCCTTGCATCCTGGAGACTTCATTGGAATTTAAGAATATTTAAAATACTTGTATTAGGGAGCATGCTGTACTATAAATATATTATACTGTTCAGTGTCAGCATTTAATGCGGAATGTTTTTCTATTTCAGAACTCTGAGATGTGGTACAAGCGACACAGTATAGCTATAGGGGAAGTACCAGCATGCAAACTTGTGTTCCGCAGAGAGCTAACACAAACAAACATAGAAGAGATATGGAAATCCATGACTCTGTCACGGTGAGTATACTTGTGAGTCATTTGCTGTTAGAGTAAAACTGTGTAGTAGGTAATAGTCTTGTCTGTCTTCTCTGGTAGTGCTTGTAAATTCGCCCACTCACCTTTCATTGCTGCCATCAAAGCCATAGTGGCTAGACCAACTGTACCACTTGTTTGGCTAACAAATTCAGCAAATAAAGTTTGCGAAGAAACTTTATTGTGCTTAATACCTTTTAACTCTTTCCTGTTGTGTTATATGAGCCTTTTGTTGTGTGGGTTTTGTCTCGTTTAGTCACTTTTTACCTCAGTCTTTCTCTTTTTTTCTTGTTATGAAATAGAAGCACTTCTGTACCATGAAACCTTTCAATGACAAGTACAGTACTTTGTATGAGATGTGAAATGGAGTAGCTAATTGAGTGTAGAAGGCTTTGAGATTCAGACATTCTTTACTATTTTCAAAAGGAATATCCTATGCAAAGTTACAGGCATTGTTTTAGACTATTTGTGCAGGAGTTAGCAGGGCTTATTGAAAGAGCTTTAAACTAGATTTGAAGGAGGAAAGGGATAAAATCAGGCTTGCTAGAGGTAAACACTGCATGCTAGTGTTTGAGGGATGGTGTGCTAGCGAGGTTCTTCAGTCTGTTCCACAATGTGCTGAGTACACTGGAGTGCATTTGAAATGTCTTTATACTAATGTGCGCAGCATGAGGAATGAACAAGAGGAGCTAGAAGCTTTGGCCCAGTCCCAGAGCTACGAAGTTAGCATAAGCGAAAGCTAGTGGGATGAGTCCTGTGATTGGGGTGCCGTGATGGATGGTTATAGGCTTTTCAGGAGGGATAGGTGGGGCAGGTGAGGTGGGGAGGGTGGCACTGTATGTAAGGGAGAGGTTGGATTGCATGGCACTTACAGTTGGTGATGGCATGGTTGAGAACCTCCGGATAAGGATGAAGGGGAAATCAAGTAAAGCTGATGATGTTGCGGGAGTCTACAATCAACCACCCAGCCAGGATGAAAAAGCAGATGAATTATTCTACAAGGAATTAAGGGATTTCTCTGGATCAACTGTACTTGTCCTTATGGGTGAATTTAACTTCCCAGATATCAACTGGGAATATAATACAGTGAGCACAAACAGGTCCAGAAAAATTCTGACGCACGTTGAAGATTAATTCTTGGTGCAGATATTAAGGGAGCCAACTAGGAAAGGTGGCCTCCTAGAATTCTTGTTTGTAAACAGAGGGGGACTCATGGGCAAAGTGGTGATTGATGGCTGTCTTGGTTACAGTGAACATGAAGTAGTTGAGTTTCAAATCGTTGGCTATAGGAGAAAAAGCGCCAGCAGAATGTCAACCCTGGATATAGGGAGAGCAAACTTCAGGCTGCTGAAGGAGCTAGGTAGTAAGATCCCTTGGGAATCTGCTTTTGAAGGTATTGGGCTGCTTGTCACTTTTTAAAAGGCATCTCTTAAGAGTACAGGAGCAGGAAATTCCAAAGTATCGGAAGTCAAGCAAGTGGGGCAGAAGCCCGTCTTGGCTGAGTAGGGATCTTCTTCTAGAACTTAGGCAGAAAAGGAAGGTGTACAGACATTGGAAGCAAGGGCAGGTGACACGAGTGGACTACAGAGATGCTGTTCATCACTGCAGGGAGAAAATTTGTGTGTCCAAAGCTTGATTAGAGCTCAAGGTGGCCAGCACTGTGAAGGACAACAAAAAGGGCTTTTAAAAATATGTTAATAACAAAAGGAGAATCGGAGATAAATTGGTCCATTGCTTGACGAAACCAGTCACCTCACAGAGACATAGACAAAGTGAAGGCATTTAATGCTTTCTTTGCCTCTGTCTTCAACACCAGTGATGGGCCCTGGAACCCCTAGAGCCCTGTGTTGGAAGACTGTGACTGGGGGGATGATAAACTCGCAGCTGACCCTGCGCTTTTTCAAGACTTGCTGCTCCAGCTGGATGCACATAAATCTATGAGGCATGATGGGATTCATTCCAGGGTACTGAAAAAGCTGGCTGGTATCATCGTGGGACCTCTCTCCATTATTTTTCAATGGTCTTGGGAGTCTGGAGAGGTCCTAGTTTAGTGGAAGCTGGCAAATGTTGTCCCAGTTTTCAAGAAGGGTAGGAAGGAAGACTCTGGTAAGTACAGGCCTGTCAGTCTTACTTCAGTGCCTGGTAAAATTGTGGAAAAGGTTATTCTTGGAGTTCTTGAAAAACACTTGAGAGACAACACAGTCATTGGTCATAGCCAGCACAGGTTCATGAGGGTAAAGTCCTGCTTAACCAACTTAATTTCCTTTTATGACAAGGTCACCCGTCTAGTTGACCAAGGGAAGCCTGTAGGTTTGGTGGCTTTGGATTTTAGCAAGGCTTTTTCTACTGTCTCTCACAGTATTCTTCTAGATAAACTGTCTAACATACAGCTAGACAAGTCCATAATATGTTGGATGAACAATTGGTTGACGAGTCAGGCCCAAGGGGTTATAGTAAATGGGGTTAGATCAGGCTGTCAGCCAATCACTGGTAGGGTTCCCCAGGGCTCAATTTTAACGCCAGTGCTCTTCAATGTTTTTATAAATGGACTGGACACAGGAATCAACTGTACATTAAGTAAGTTTGCCGATGATACTAAATTAGGAGGAGGTGTGGAATCCCTCCAGTGTAGAGAGGCCTTACAGAGATATTTGGGTAGACTAGAGAGCTGGGCAATCACCAAGCGTATGAAATTTAACAAGAGTGAGCACTGCATTGTACACTTGGGATGGGGTAACTCTGGTTATATGTACAAAGTGGGGGACGAGAGGCTGGAGAGTAGCCCCCTGGAAAGAGATCCGGGGGTTTGGGTTGATGGCAAATTGATTATGAGTCAACAGTGTGCCCTGGCAGCCAAAAGGGCCAACCGTGCTCTGGGGTGCATTAAGCACAGCATAGCCAGCTGGTCCAGGGAGGTGATTGTCCCACTCTACGCTGCACTGGTGCGGCCCATTCCAGTACTATGTGCAGTTTTGGGATCCTCAGTATAAGAAGGACATCAAACAATTGGAGTGTGTCCAGAGGAGGGTGACCAAGATGGCGAAAGGTCTCAAGGGCAAAATTTAGGAGGAAACTGTATGTTTGCCTTTGTCAAATTAGGTGATGCGTTAACTATGTGTTTATGTATTTTTACAGATTACAAAAGGCCTTGGGGTTGGATTCTCTGGATGAAGTGTTGGACACAAAACTTGTGAATTCAAAGCATATAGTCCAAAATGCATACAACGTCAATAAGCAAGGCATTGTCACTTTAGAAGACAAATCAAGTAAGTATTTGAGAAGGTTTCATTTAACTTTTTTTTATACTGTAATTTACTAGTATAAAAAAAGTATTTGTTTTAATCTATACTGAGATGTAGCATCTTTACACCTGTGTGACCACATTTATACTAGAGTTTTTACAAGGTATGCTATTGTTGTCCTCTGATAGATGTCATGACAGGTAAGAATCGGTGTTTATTCCATATTTATGCTCTTAAACATATTCATGCTTTAGCAGTGTTGAAAGATGAAGGCAAAAGAACAGCAACTTTTTATTTATAAAGACAGGGATATTACTCGCTTCAAGCTGGCTTTGTCAGCCCAGCCCTTAACTGCCTGAACTGGATTGTCTATGTGAGGGAAATGTGTGTTAAAAATCAGGAAAGAATCAAAACTTACACTGAGAGATGCTTAAAATTTCTCAGTTTTGAGTTTTCAATCAATGCATTTTGAAACTAGTGCCGAGTTTAAAACCACTTTGCACGCCAGGGAGAAAGTAAAGCATTTTTGGTGCTGTGATATATCACTTACAATATTATTGCCACCATGTTTTTTTCAAGGTTTGTAGAAAAGTGAAAGATGAGTTTGGAACCTGGTTTGGTTTGTGAATGAAACCTTCTCCAGAGCATATACATATTCATTTTAAAGACAATTGGAGCACCAGAAGACATTAACTGCCCCCTTGCAGAAATGACAGAACAGAACATATGAGTGCTTTTCAACATCTTCAGTGCAAAGTAAACACTTCACTGTAATGCACTATTGAAGTTGTAGCTTGAACTAGTTTGGCTGATTTTTTGCAGGGCAGGTTAAGGATTTGTGATACAATCCATTTTGCTTGATTGAGTTGTAAGAGCAGTGGGCATAACAGATTGATATTGAGTACTAGAGGTACTAAAGCATAGATGTCATTTAAACTAGATCCTACATTAAGGTATAGCCTGCCTTTACAATTAGTCAATCTATTATACAAGAGGATAATAAATAGGAGAAACTTCTTAAAGAATTCTCAGTGTCTCTTTTTCTCATGTATTTTCTCCTTTTAATTTCTGTCTGTTTCTCTCCTATGCAGAGGAACTACCTCACTGGATATTATCAGCAATGAAATGTCTAGCAAATTGTAAGTAAATTCAGGAGAGGAAAAAACCCCAAACCAATCCACCCCTGTAAAAATCAATTGAACTGACTGTGCCTTTACCGCTTTATCAAATCTTGCTTATATTCAAAGTCAATATTTTTTCTGATCATTGCCTTAAACAAAGTTAGAAAAGATCATCCATCATCTATTCTCCTGCCAGTGCAGCTTATTTCAATGAAATATATAAAGATTTAACTATTTTATTAATATTTTTCCTCTACTGTGTGTTTTCACTAGACATATTGGAAACAGATCAGTTCAATAGATCAATACAGTTTCACTTATATTTTGGAGAATGAGTCTAAGTTTTGTAATTTTTTTTTCTAGTTTATACTGCATTTTTATTGGCTGTAATAGAAAATAGTGATCTGCTTGGTGGCTGCAAAGCAATTTTCTCTTTTTTTTTTTCTTTTTGTTTTTTTTTTTTTTTCTTCTTTGAAGGGCCCAGCTGCTCAGATTTGAAGCAGCCTACATACTCAGGATTTGAAAGAGATGTCTTCAAAACTATAGTGGACTACTTTAGCCAGATGAAAGAGCCTCTTCTCACATTTCATTTCTTTGATGTTTTTGTTAGTGTGTTAGGTAAGTAGTTTGGGAAGTGATGAAAAGATTATTCTTTAGAATTAACTTCCTGTAATTAATTATTCATACCCAAATACAGCTCATTTCTTTAGGACCTGCCCTGTCCATTCTGCATGGAGAACAGTTTAATATTTAAATTTATTTCATATCACAAGGTGCTTTCATTCTTGTGTCTTTTTGATCACATTAGTTCAAAAGTCTTCTGTTGCTTGTCTTCATAATTTTTAAAGGCCTCTGTTTGTTGCTTAGCACTGCCACACCTAACAGATATATTTTAGCAGATTTTTCTTTTTTTACAAATGCCCAAGTGTCTTAAAAACTCACATATGCCTTTTAGAAACTGCTTGACTGAAGTGTAGATTAAAAAGGATTAGGACTATAAGGACTGTTTTTAACCCTGGCAATATTACATCTGAAGGAAATCTAAATCCTTCATTGCTTAATCTTAGAATACACCTTAACTAATCTAGTGGTTTAAAGACACAATAGTTTAATTATTAACTATAACTTTTTAAGGGTTCACACTATATCAAATTCATTTATCCTGTAGCTATAGATGGCCCATTGAAAGACAGTAAATGTAATAATATTTGATTACATTTTATAGTTACGCTTTCGAATAGAACAATTGAGTTGAAAAGTAAACGTGCTTTGTAACATGTCACTCTTCTGAGCTTCTTTAAGTGGGAACAACATTGCTTTTAATAAACTATCGAGATGGAAAAGGAATGCAGAATGACACTTTTATTTCTGGAATTTAGTGTTTTGATACTTTGTTCATTGATAATCTTGCTTCAAACTGAGTATTGTTCCCTTTCAGACTTCTTTTTCTTAGACAAGAAGTATTCTTGATAACATCTTTAAAAATTCTTCCTCTCCTTTCATACTGTCTTCCTGTTTGCTTTTCCATTGTATTTCACATCTTTCAGGCTTCATGAGTTTTATTTCGCAGTATTTCACAGATTTAAAAATGGGAAGAATTCATGCCAATGTTTATGTGGAAATGAAAGGAAATCATGCACTGTTTCAAAAAGTCAAAAAATAATTTTGTGGTTGCTTTCACAAAAAAAATAGGTGCTATTATGGAATCCTTGTTTACTAATGAAAATAGATTTACACAAAAAAATCTTGGGAATACAGGCTTTCAAGAACTACTTAAAGTGTTTTCCATCTTCATATTTATACTGCCGGTAATTTAAAGTAAATTGTATATGTTTGAAAACGTCATGTTTCTCTAGAAGTCTTGCCTAGACAGCCTCCTGCAGACACCCAACACAGATATTTAAATAGCTAAAAAGCTGCATTTGGCCTCAGTGGGATGATTTGGGATACCTGAGTTAGGCACTCTCACTGACGGAGGGATGGGGTTGGGTCAGATGATCTGCAGGTGTCTTTTCCACTCTTTTTATGATTCAAGACTATGCTTCCTATCTATCCAGTGGAGGGAGTTCAAGCAGACAATTCAGCATACCTGTGGTGAAGCCTAACTTTCCTTTTTGTACTCAAAACTACTTAGAACCACTAGTAAGAAAATAAACAATTAAACGTAAGTCAGAGATACCTGATCTGTAGTTTTGGTAGCAAGGTCTTCTCTAACCACTCAGACTCTCTTCTGAGATTCAATCTGTGATTCTCACAAGTGAGGGGAAAGTGGGACGAGGAAAGGATTTTTTGGGGATTAAGCTGAGAGATAAAGCGGAAAGTTTTGGGTTCTGCTTGATGTGTTATTAAGTCTTAACAATGAAGCTAAGGTACAGACTACTATGAAGCTGTAGGTAAATGTAGAGGATAATGCACACTCCACAGAGTATTATTTTGTAGTGTCAATGCTAGTACGGAATACTGCCTGTGAAGCAGTAATTGCTTAGCAAGTTGTGCATTTACAAAATATGAAAAAGCAGATCTGTGTCTGCAGTTCCATTTCTGTAATTTTCCTTTTTATGGAGTATAGCTTGCTATATTGGCAATAATTCTCAATCTTAAGATATTTATAAACCAAGATTTCAGTCCTTGAGTCTTTGACTTTTCATATGGCTACCCTCAGGGAATTACAACTTTTCCACAGTGATTACAGGACTCCTTTCTTCCTTCACTGGATAAGCTTTCTGTTTAATGGAAATAGCAAAGAAAGTGTTATCAGATGATATTTTTAGTCATTTGAGGCAGCCATGATGTGATTTGTACATGTCTAAAAGCTCCATCTTAAAACCTGAGAAATATTTGCAGAAATCATAGGTGGCTTGTGTGACCGTATCAAGATGCCTTACTTGCTTCTATTTTTGAATGAAGACTGTCTAGAGCACTTCTTTTCCAAGAGGTTGGCTGAAATTAGTTTTCAGAATAGCCAAGAAAATAGGACTAAGGTGTCAGTGATCATCAAGTATTTTACTAACTTGGTAAAATTAAACTTGCTTTTTGCATGGGTTATGATTCTTTATGCACACATCTCATTAAGGTTAATTAATATTTCTTGGGGCCTCTTCTAAACATATGCACTAGTGTGCATGCCAAATCTACCTTTGAAATTAGAAAAAGCTTTGCTTTGAAAATAAAATTAACTACAGTGCTTTACCACTCTTTTCTTGGAATACTGTCTGTTTTCGCTACCCTACTTACTATTGCACACTTCTGTTTGTTTGGTTTTGGTTTTTTAATAACAAACAGCTTCCACTTTTTACACAGTGTAAAATTGACTGGCATGGTGGATGAGAGGACATCAGTGGATGCTGTTTATGTTGACTGTAGTAAAACTTTCAACACTATCTTTCATCACATCTTTATAGGCAAACTGAGGAAGTACAGGCTAGATAAGTGTGTAGTGAGGTAAGCCAGAAATCGGCTGAATTGCTGGGCTCAGAGTATTGTGATGAGTGGCACAAAGTCTAGCTGGGTGTCAATCAGTAGGGAGTACCGCAGGGCGGTTAATGGGGCCAGTAGTGGTTAATACTTCATTAATGACCTGGATGGTAGGAGACTCTGTCCTAAACAAGGACAGAATGCCCTAAACAAGCATGCAGATAATCCAAAATTGGGAAGAGACATTAATGCAGCAGAGGATTGTACTGCCATGCAGAGGGACCTCAAAGGATGGAGAAATGGGCAAACGCGAATCTTGTAATGTTCAACAAAGGGAAATGCCAAGTCCTTTCCTGGGGAGGAATAACCCCATGCACCAGTGCATACTGGGGGTAACTGACTTGAAAGCAGCTTTACTGAGAAGGATTTGGCAGTCCTGGTGGGCACTAATGTGACAGTTAGCCAGCAGCGTATCCTTGTGGCAAAGACCTGCAGCACTCTTAGCTGCATTAAGAGCACTGCCAGCAGGTTGAGGGAGATCTTTTCTCGGCACTAGTCAGTGAATCCAGTGGAGTGCCGCAAAAATTAAGGGCTTGGAACATCTGTCATGTGGGGAGAGGCTGAGAGCAAGGAGAGCTCTGGAGAGCCTGGAGAGGAGAGGCACAAACAGAAATACAGGAAACTTCATTTATACATAGGAAAATAGCTTTTTTTAATTGGAAGGTAGTCAAACACTGGAAGAGGTTGTTCAGAGAGGCTGTGGAATCTCCATCTTTGGAGATATTCAAAACCTGACTGGACATAGTCCTGGGCATCTTGCTGTAGATGACCCTGCTTTGAGCAGGGGAAGAGGTCTAGGTAATCTCCAGAAATCCCTTCCAACATATATAATCCTATGAAAAAAAAAACTGTATCTTTTTGTTGTCTTTGTTGTTTCTTTCTTAAGAGAAATTACTGACAGACTTCAGTCATGCAGATATTTTGTTCCTGACTTCTGTATTGTTCTGTGACTAGTGCTATTTAGGCAAATGAGTAGTAGCTTCCTTCATTGAGCTTAGAAACCCAAAAGAGACTAACATTTTTGTACTGAGGCCTCTTTATAGGTTATCTAAACTGCTATCAGATTCTACCTGTGCCTATCCAGTCTTCAAATATCTCTGCCATGTTCACATTCTATGTTTTTTCAAGAGCTTTTAAGCAGAATTAGTCGTGGTTTTAACTTCTATCGGTGTGAGGGGCATGTCAGTATTGTCATAGCTGTCATGGATGCATAAGCACGTTCGTTTAGATTCTCTGATTGTTGCCCCAGACTTAACTTTTTTTTACGTGGTTGCTACATCTGTGCATACATCTCAGTTGAGTTTAGAGCTGAGGGTTATAAAAGAGTAAGTAATGAACCGAAACATAGGTTTTCGTGTCTACTAATAGCTAGAGTTTTTGGTTACGGTTATTAATATCTGCCAATGCATCAGAAGGAAATCTTGTAAATATTCAAATAAGGTGCCCAGTTCTAGTAGTCCAGCTCTAGGGATATCTTCCTAGAATCTTTGGGGAGTGGAGTTCTACTGCAGTCTTTTAAGAGTAGAAAAGGAATTGGGGGAGACAGATTTAGATATATTATGTTAAATGTTATGGAAATATATAATTGAGAAATGTTGCACAATCTCATGATCTTGTATAAACCAGGACTGCTGCAAAAACACAGCAAGGCTGTAGAAGCTCTTCAGATATCTTGTCTCCTGCTGCCACCAGAAAATCGGAAAAGACTACAGCTGTTGGTGAGGATGATGGCAAGAATTAGCTTTAACAAGGATTTGCCACCTCTTTCTGATTCAGTGAGGACCAGAACCTTGGTATGTATAGTGTAAAGCAAAAGGTCTAGACAAGGCTTTTGGAGTAGCACAGATAAAAGATTCTTACTGGAGAGTGTATACAAAGTACAGTTTGCTTGTTTGAAGAACAGTTTATCTATTCTAACTATATGGACAGCTACTCTGAATTTGAATAAACTGGGATTTCTTGGTAAGTTGTCAGCAAATGAAGAATTTGCTCAGAATTTGGAGGTTTCCTTATCTTTCAAAATTAAATCACCACTGATATTACTACTAAGTAGAAAAAAAATAAAATACAGTAGGTGAGGTTTCAGGTGTTCTTTATCAGTGCAGACAGTGTGAGAGAAAAACAGTCTGTTTCAGTAATAGTTAGAAATATGTAGCTGAATGTTTTGATTTACCTGTTTTCAGCTATTTTAAAAAAAATCCTACCAGTTTATTTCAGTACTATTTTTTTTTGTTAATCATTTAACTACAGAAATCTCTGAAAGTAATTTTAATTAGATTTTGATAAAGCCTTAGTTTTTGCTAATGCTTTTTCTTTAGGGACTACTTGTAGAGTTATCACTGATGTTTGTAACAGCATGTTATTACAAAGTTATTAGGCATAACTTAGCAATTCTGACTGGCTAAGGACATATATTTCTTCTGCTTAATTTTCAAGTCTTTTGCAAGAAGGGCAACAGAAAACTTAGTTTTGCATAAAAATCCTATAGTAGCACACATAAATCTAAATTTGTTCCATAGCAATTAGGTTTTTTATTAACTATGAATAGCATTTGATTAAAATAATTAAAATTTTGATTGCTGAGTTTATAATTTAATTAGCTGTCAATGATCTTTGATTAAAATAATTATGTTATAATCTAAATGTTATTTTTAGAAGTGAATCCTTTACAGTCCAAGTATTTTGTACTAAGTTATAATTCAGCAGTGTAATCTATGGTACATGACAGAAAACCTTGATTGCCTTCTGTTCTTTTAATGTTATAAGTGACTGGTGCACAGACAGAAAATTCTTCTAACAATGCTTGAGCATAAGACTACATGAAGTAAGCTGAACCTGAAATTTGGTTTGATGATTTCATAATGATATTAAGTACCAGAGCGAAAACGTCACTTCTATTAAATTCCTGTGTAATTTTTAAAATCTCTGAAATATTTGTGCCCTATTTAACTGGAAAAGCCATGTGAAGTGGCTATTTGATAAAGTCTTGAGAATAAAATGGAATTCAGCCATTCTAAGTCTAAAGTCAAGGTTAGATTATGCATATGAGGCAAGAGCCATCTTCAGCCCACTCAGATAATGTCACTGTACACAATACTTTTTTTTTTTTAGTTATTATTATTGTATTGATGAGTTGGAAGTACAGTGAGTATTGTGCTGTTTAAAACCTTTTCTCTAAAAGATCAGTTTTTAAATACAGTCTGATTCCCCACCCCTTACCCCCAAACAGAAAAATACACAATAATGAGGGGTTTTTTTTTCTCAGATGGTCCAGGCATTTTCCCGTTGTATTCTGTGCTCAAAGGATGAAATGGACTTGGATGAACTGCTTGCTGCTAAACTAGTATCTTTTCTTATGGACAATTATCAAGACATCTTAAGTGTTCCTTCTGCCTTAAAATCTTCTATAGAGGAACATGTTATACATCTCCAGAGAGTCCAAGTAGGTATCTAGTGAAAATAGCCTCTAATGTCTCTGTGCTAGAAGACCAAGTTTATCCTTTCTGCTCCAGAGTTTGACAGTTCTTAAAGACTCATTCTGTGTCTGCTAGCTTATGAAGAGCTAATTAATTTTGACTGATGATATTCAACCATAACTATGTATTTAAATGAAACTAAGCAGATCTTGATTGGTTTAGAGACAAGAACTCTAAAATATGTTTTCCTATTGGTCAGCACTATCTTCTTGATGAAATGGGCAAATTATGTTTGTGGTAGTGAGGAAAACTGGATGGTTAAAAAGTTGTTCTATTAATGTTCTGATTTTCTTTTAGAGCCATCCTAACTTGTTCAGCCTTTTTGTTACTCTTTTGCTGCTTCCTGATACAATTTTTCTTTTTTGTTCAAAGATGTTTTTTAGTTCTTCGTTCTTTAATTTCTGCTGAAAAAGTAACTTCTAACTTATTCCAAGAGTTAAACAGGCTTCCTTTGTGTCTTTTTTTTTACTTACTACAACTCACTCAATTATTGCAGGAGAAAAAAGGTACAATTTAGGGTCTTTATTCCATATCTGCTCTATTTAATGACTTCAGGTGGTTAATTTGATTTAGCCAGTTTTTTCAAATAAAAATAGCTGCTCTTTTTTTACTCTTTTTTTCAGATAAAATATGCTGGAGCTGATACTGATGCAACTTTTCCTCCTCCATCATTTTGTCACCAAATTGGTACAGATGAATTTGAAAACCAAAGGGCAACAGGCTCTCAAGAGCCGCTGGCAGCTTTATTGGAAGAAATTGCAATGAATAAAGAAATATCTGTGAAAGACAAGAAGAAAAAGCTCAAGCAAGTAAATAAAAATTCCTCCACAGTCTTTAATTTTAACTTAAGAAGCTTTGAGAAGTCTTAGAGATGTAGTCCTCTGGAGAAATACTGATATTTAAAATAGTAGGTACTCTTAGGGATTTCAAATTTTTTTAATCATTTAGTATAGGGGTACTGTGATGAATCAAGCCATATTAGAAAATATCACCTAATTTTCTATACAGAGGTATAGAAAGTCCATTAGAGAAATAATAGTTTTCCTGCTCCAGAGATGGAGGTTGCATTTTAATAGTTTTTATATTGCAAGTTTGAGTCAATTCTTCATTTAAATTGTTGTGTTTTTCTAGTTTCAGAAAACTTACCCTGAAGTATATAGAGTACGATTTCCTACCCCTGAAACTGAAGCGGTGCTGTTTCCAGAAAAAACTAAACCGAAGCCACCAGTACTGATGTGGGCCTTTAAAAAGCCTTTCCAACCATTTCACAGAACCAGAAGCTTTCGGATGTAAATGGTTTGAAGTATATCAGTGAACTGAGTCACAGCATATTATCAATGAATCTTCTGCAAAAGGAGCCTGCGCAAGCAGGTTGTTACTAAAAAAAAATGGAGATACTGCCGAGATAGTAGAAAAGGTCAAAATAAGAGGAAAGCATTGAGGTGGTAGAAATGTGAGCCATTATCAGTATTTTTTTTGTAAATCACTTTTTTTAATGTCTGTTATTTAAAAAAAAAAAAAAATGAAACTCAAGGGGATTAATCTACATGAGTGATAAAGTACACTTGCTGTAGTTTGATTTGACCATCATTTCAAGGTCTAAATGTATTTGTGTGTAATGTATTGTTGTTACTAGTGAACGGCTTTTTTTTCCCTCTGAAAATGAGTGTCTTGCATAAACTAGGCTGTGTTTGTTCACATATAGCTTGAGGAATTAATTTGCTGTACATACTTGAATAAGTGTGAAACACTGGATTTTGTTTTACTGTTGTACACCTTAGTATTCTTGATATGTAAGATTTATTTTGGAAAACTGTAAAAGCTCATTCTTAATTTTCTGATTCATATGATGCATTACAGCTTGAGTCAACTCCTACTGAAATTCTAATAACTTCTGTAGTGTTGACCCATTCTTTTAAGCAAGTCAGTCTTTTAAGTCTTTTCCCATATGCTCTTACTAAATATTGCAGTATAAAATTGGACGCTTGACAATAGAACATATTTTATCAGAAAAATCTGAAGCCTTGCATTTCCTCTGGAAATGGAATTCAAATATTGAGGTGACATTGAAGCATACATGTCTCTAATGGTTTCATTTGTTTTGCATTCTGAAATCTATTGTACCTATAAATTGACTGTGCATGTTACATACTTGATTCTGACAGCACTTTTTACCTATTAAAGCATTACCATTTTCCGATATTTACTCAGAATGGTGATTTCATATTATCCATTAGTGATGTAAAAAGCAGCATTTCATTCCTTATTGAATGTCAGAGTAGTCTATGCAGGAGAGAAGAGAACTGATATCTCAATAAATTTTAGTAAGCAACATGACATTTTAGTAAGCAACATGGTGACTATGCTGTAATGCAACATTGACGGTATTTTCACTTTGCTAACCTCCTAATCAGTCAATAAGCTTTAAGATGTACATAACAAGGTTGTTGGTTTAATAGACTGGAATATTTCTTGGGCAATGTGATTTTAAACAGTACATGCTTCCATGATCTGTTTTCACACATCGGTTAAACTTGGACTTCGTATCAATAATCTTTCTCTTAAGCAAAACTGATAAAAAAGGGCATGCTTTTCAGATAATGATAATAAAACTACTAATATTAGAAGTAGTCTGAGGCCACTTGTTACCTTTTGTACTAGGTCTTCAAGGGTGACATGACCTTTTAGATATGTCATCCTATTCTGTGTATGCTTACATGCAGTCAAACTTTGACTATGACTTGACTACTCATAAATAGCAGTTTGGTTACAGTGCTAATCCATGAAGTATAGTAACGAGTAAGGCTAGTTGGAAACCAAATCTTGTACAAAAGTGGAAACCCACCCTAAGTGATCTCTGACATCAATTCCTAAATTGCAGAGAAGGAGAAGCCAATCTATTTGCCACTGGAAATAATCTCACTGCTTGCCAATGAGCCTTCTACTGTCATGTTGAATTTTTTCCCCATTGTTACTTTTTAAAAATTTGTAGCCTTCCTGATCCCATTTTAAACAGTAGTTACTGAGTTTACTCATTAGCTGCCATGCAGAGAAATTTCAGATATATCATACGTTTCTATAGATCAATTGTACTTTTGTTTCAAAGAATTATTTCCTTGACTGTGGCAAAAACAAACCAAGCAAGTCCATTGGCTCACGATTCCCAAGCCTGCAAAAAATACCACCACGAAATGTCATCTAAAACCTTGAAGGGACTGTAGGGAAGAAACTTCACCTGAGATTGTTATCTCACAGACTGAATTTTAACTGTTGCCCTGGAAGACACTTAAGAAAGCTTATCTTAGTAATAGAAGATACATGACTATGGCTGCTGCGTACAGCTCTTGCTTGTCTCATACCTGAGCCAGCTGCAAATATGCAAGGTGACTGTGGCTTAAACGTAAAAGTAAGTTTGTCTGTTCCTTTCAGGGTGGAGGTTAGAAAAAGAAAGCTTGAAAGCTAGTTCAGAGAAGACTGGGAGCTTGGTGAAACGTCTTAGAAAAAAATTTGTGTATCTCTAAGCTATAGTCAATAGAAACTTCAGTTTTGATATTCACTTCCCCAGGAATTTAACCTTTAGTCCTGTGTTAAAGCCCTGCAGTGTCTTGATGTTGCCAAGACAGAACAACATCGGCTCTACTGGGTTTATGTTCCTTGAACTGTGAGGACCATAAAGCAAACATTCTTTTGCTTAACCTAATGGCTATTTTCTGAAGAGGCTCACTAAATGGAGTACTAGCTGACATTCTTTTAAGGTACATCAGCTGGGAAGACTCAATAAAGGTAGAAGATGTTGTTTGTTTCAGCTGCTTTTAACCTTAGACCAAGGTTTGTCATCAAAGAGGAGCATCTGAAATATCCACCTGTAAGCTCATATGTAAGTAGGAGCTATTTCTTGCTAAATTTGGACAGTGCTGTTTAACTCCTTAGTAGTTAAACTTCTAGTCTAATACTATTAGCTGTCATTGTTAGGCTTTCTGGACAAGGTCTTGGAGTAGAAAATTCTATTATGTGGGGGGGTTTGTTTGGTTTTGCAGGTTTTTTTTGTTTGGTTGGTTTTTCTTGTTTGGTTGGTTTTGGGTTTGGATGGGGTTTTGTGTGTGTGTGTGTGTGTGTGTGTGTGTGTGTTTGGTTTTGTTTTTTTTGCTTTGTTAAGTCCTTTGCCCCCATCAGAACAATCTTTTCCCTCACCCCCCAGCTGACTTTGAACATAACCTCTCTCCTGACCTATTGGTTCCTAGTGATGCATCTGTGACAGTTTTGCTCCAGCATATCCTGGAAGAGGCAAAACCACTATTTATCTTCCTTTCTTGGAAGGGAAGCTGGGTCTTCACTTAACACTGCTCTTTCTTGCTGATTATTTCATTGCTTTCTTTCCTTACCCAAACACAGGTAGCTCCAGCTCCTAAATTAACAATCAGTCATCTGGAAAACCTTTCAGTTCACATGTCTCTGTTTCTGCTCCAGTCTTCTGATGTTCCTTGAGTAATAGCTTCCATTGTTAGTTGCTAATACATAAAGATTATTTAGTTGTACATAGGTTGTATGAAATCTGTTTAACCTACCTAATTTACCAGGATTGTGATATCAGCTGTTTACACTTATGACTGCAGAGAATGATTGATGGCTGATGTTATTTTGTGAAACTGTTTTCAGATGTTACTTCACTTCATATCAGCAGAATCTGGGTGATCTTATTTTCTTGTTCTACTAAGTGGATGCAAGAACTAAAGTGAAGAAGGTTACATATGTTAACATACCACACTTTTTAAGTTATTGTTGCAGTATGCCAGAGCTTTTTCCCCTCTTTTCTAAAAAGATGTCTTACATCGTAAGAGCGTCTCTTTCTTTCACAGAGACTGTGCTAATTCAAATGACTTGCTTTATCTCTTGATCACAATTTTTTAAGTCTCCTGCTGCCTCAGAGTTTATGATTCTAGTTATTGTAGCTCTAGGTAAGCTCATACTTCTTAGATTTTAAATCCACAAACTCATAGATACCATCTGTAGGTATGTAAGTGCACTTGAATTAATGTCATTAATTTGAAACAGCTGGCGTACTTTATACTAGCTGTAATACATTAACACTATTTTCATCAGTTCATGAGGCTTGAAGCAAAAGTGTGAGGTGACAAGTTTTTTAGGAAAACAAATCCTGTAAAATGGGATTAGAATTTAGACAAGTTTTTACCTCTGTTTTCAAGTATCTGCTGTGTGGTATTTGTTTATCAACGTCTCTTCCTGTGTTAGGTGTCAGGTTTGTTGTGGTTTTGGTTTTTTTTTTTCTTTTTTTTTTTTTCCCAGAAACCCAGTTTATAGAATAGTTATGCATCCAGGGCACTCTTTCTATATGAATCATGTTTCAGAGTGAGTGTTGCATTCTACTGTCTGTAAAAGGAGTTTACAAATTTACTAATTATAAACATATAAAATTAGGTGAAATAAGTCTCTGCTCATGAGTTTCTATTTGGGTACCTAAGTCCCATTTAATTTTGCCTTTGCCAAGATAAATAACATAGAGGAGATGCAGAAGTATGTGTTTATAAAGAAGGAAGCTGATACGTGTTTGTGAAGTCCTTTCTAAAAGTAATTGAAAGAGGCAGAATATTTAAATAGTATTGGTTAGGGACAGTAATTTTCAATTTCATTGCTTTTTTGGAACTTTGGATATTTAAAGCTGCCTGAAAAAATCTCTTGCTTGTCCTGGCAAAAGCAGAAAAATACCAGAACAGTGCAAAACACACTGTTATTCAAAAGGATAATTAAGAAAAATCCAAATAGCCAATAGCAAATGAGTCCGATGACAAACCTGGGAAAAACAGTGGAAAAACTGATACAGAATTTTAGTGGGTAAACCTAAAGCACGGTAATAGAGCTGAAGTTTAGTCAATGCATTGTTTCAATTCTTTATATCAAGTGTACTACCTTGCATGGCAAAATTGTTTTTGTTAGTGATGGAGATTATGAGTTTATTTTATAACATGTCAAGTTTTGGCTGCTGAAAATATTTTAATGACTGTGCAATATTTATATAGCAGATTTAGGTAAACTGACAATAGACTTTGCTCTTTTTTGTTTTTTATGGATTCCTTGGAGGTATTTATGTAGCCATGGATATGTATGAAAATTGTGGGTACAATAGGCTTTTTATGGCATTTCATTTAGTAGCACCTGATAAAATTATTCCTGGATAATATCCGTAAGTGTGTTAAGTGATTAAGAACTGCCTAAATGTACTCATAAGGGAATCACGATGGAGATACCCTTTACAGGTTTTTGTAGGAAACCCCCAC